CAGGCTAATACGTCTGCATTTCCTGCCAAATACTAGCCTCAAAAAGATTAAAATATAATTAATGCAAATAAACTACTTCTACTAATAATAATAATCATAATCAATTCAATAATATAAATAATATATTATTTTATTATAATATAGTTGTAATATAGTCAAGACAAAACATGCTTATTACATGCTCAAAAACTGATATTTCTTAAATCTGTATTCAAATGTAGTTCCCTCTTTCAGCAATGTATCAACAACTACACACACATATCTATCAGTATTTGGGGGGGGCGGGTGATGGGCGGAGAACTGCGCGGAGAACTGCGCGCAGAACTGTGCTGAGAACTGCGCACAAGCCAAGCTCATAAGCCGAGGCCCCCTGCGCGAGGCCCCCTGCGCGAGGCCCCTTGCGCAATGTGAGGCCCTATGCAGCCTGCATCATCGGCCTGTAGGGAGGGACGGCCCTGCATTATGATGTGATATGATGTGATATGATTGATAATGGGACACATCAACCTCTGCACTCACAGTGCCGCGGACTGTAGCCTACGTAATGTTACCTTGATCCGGTTACTTATGCTGTGGCAGATATTTAAGTAAGCTTTCTTAACGCTAATGTTTGCGCCCCGCCCCCCGTTGNCCCCAAGCGACATTGTGAGAGTGAAAAAAAAATGTTTGGAAACAAAGTACTTTGCAAATATAATTCCTGTTTATTATTATTATCAACACAGTTACTTTGTTCTACAGTGACAAAGTAACTGTGTTGATAATAATAATAAACAGGAATTATATTTGCAAAGTACTTTGTTTCCAAACATTTTTTTTTCACTCTCACAATGTCGCTTGGGGCCCCAAGTTGGCCAGGGACGGCCCTGTCATTATGGATCATATATTTCCTTATCCGAGTCAGGTTATTGAGCCGTATCTGGGCGTGCAACATTTACAGTGTCACATACTGTATGCAGAAGTATTATTTTAAGCAACACATTAAGTTGACGAAACATTCAGTCAAATGTAATTAAAGTCAGATCCACTCGTGTCTTAGACGGGGCAGCAGTGATATCATAAACCTGTTAATGTACGCATTCAAACACAAAATATGTCACATTATATAATGACTATCACAGAGTCATCATTTTTGAGAAAAAGGCCCCTCAAATATTCCTCATCTCTGGAATCCATCGATCTGATTGATTATTAGCGGAGCAAATGATCAAAGTAGTACGGAGGGGAAATAATTTCGTTTGGATTACTGGTATGGGGGAAGCTCGCAAGTGTGTGTGTATGTATATGTATTTATATGTGTGTGGGTGTGTGTGTGTGTGTGTGTGTGTGTGTGTGTGTGTGTGTGTGTGTGTGTGTGTGTGTGTGTTTGTGTATTTTTGCGTTTCTGTGTGTTGTTTGTTAAAACAAACAAAAACACTCACGAGAAACACCGGCTGTTGTTGCCTGCTGTGACGTTAAATTACTCCGTTCTCCGCTTGTAATTATGTCGTTGTTACAAGCTTCAAAGTTGTATTTATCATCTGAATTTGCCGAAAAAAGTTTAATATTCTGAAAGCCAAAACTTTGTTTATTTGAAATCAGATGAAAACAAACTGTAACGGACCCGGCCGTGTTATCTATGATTACAATGTGCCTAACAATCATAATTTCAGCCGGAGGGAGGGGGGCGGCGCTGAGGAAGAGCAGAGTGGCGAGTGAGAGGTGCCTGTCATCTTCCCTTTACAAGCTTCAAAAATGTATTTATCGTGTGATTTTGGAAATAAACGTTTCATATTCTGAAAGCCAAGACTTTGTTTATATAAAATCAAACAAAACACCCAAACCCCGAAAAACTATTTTTTTACGCAAATCCACGTTTATTTTGAAATGAGCCGTTGCGACTTCCGACTGATTTCGATAGAGCGGGTCACATATGATATCTTACCCCATGTTATCCTGTAATGCTAATTAGCTAGTTTATGATCAGGCCACAACGTTTTAGACTTCGCAACGGTTGGAAAAGTAACGTTCCTCTGGATTTTTCGGTCAGCAGCTTACGTTCTCAACGTTGTGGGCACGTACTTGTTTTGTCGGGTACCGTTAACGCCCACTTTAGGTATTGCTCATTTTGCGGAAAGGCGAGTGCCCCACTCATAGGGCTAGAAAGCAGGCAGGCAAAGCGCAGGAACGGCCAAAATACCATCATCGACGTAGTGTGTGAGACAGATGATAGTCTCTCACTGAAAATACCAGGCCAGGTTGAAAACTGCGCTATCATTGGAAGCCGTTCCGGAAATTTGACACACCCCAACCTAAATCGTAAGCAGAAATGAGATTTTAATGTCTTGATTGAATACTGGAGGTACTCTCCTGTGCTCGACCTGCCGCGGAAATAGACTGACTTCCTTTTCGCCTGTCTCCTCATCGCTGCCGCAGACCGGCCACTCTCCTCGGCTCATTTAACACAGGCTGTCCGCGGACCACTGGCTTCGGCATCTGGACACATCAAAACGGGTCTGTCGTCGTTGAAGATACGGGAACGTGCCTGTGTGCGTTTTTTTTTGCCTGTATAATGCCGACACATTTGCGATTTCGGAAAAGGTCATTCCTTGGGCTTTTATTCCTTTTTTCGCTGTCCACCTCCGCATTGTACTTCATCTACTCCGCCCCCGGAATCGGTAAGTGAAAAC